AAGCAATGCAATGGACAATTATGCCAAGTTTCACTGTGGTTATAGCACATGGCTCTGGCTTGTAAGTATGAGGGTTCAAACCCCGGTCGGAGGTCAAGCCAGCCCTTTACCCCTCCAGGATTGGAAAAAAAAGCACCGCTTTGTGGGAGGTCAAAAGCTATCAAGTGAATCGACCCTCTCAAATTAATTACATTTCCCCCAGTGTGAGCAGGAGGTGAGTAACCCCCCCGTATAATTTGAGTAAGAAACTACTTTCACTCTTTTGAATGCGCAGGGCTTGCCGTCAATATATCACTGTCAAAATATCACCGCTGTGAGCATCGCCCTGCGGAGACATTTGGTCGGAGCGGGTAGTGCTAAAAGGCACGGCAATCTCAAAGCAATGCACACTACACTAATCACATTGCCCTTCTGTCCGTTCAACTTTACTTTCTGTCCACTTCAATGGGTTCTTCTTTGGGTTCCGCAAACTGGCGAAAGTGGCAAAGACGATTTTACTGATTCCAGGACTTCAGGGTGTGTTTTTTTTTTCTCCATAAATTTACTCAGAGGTCAGATCAATGTAAACCTATTGTCACTGTGGCTTCTTAGCTGTGTGTGAATGGCACCAACATCTTCATTGACATACAGTATACCAAGCCACTTAATGACATACTGGATATTCATATTCATTGACATACAGTATACCAAGCCACTTAATGACATACTGGAGCCAAGCTTCACTCATTAAATGTTCAGTCTGAAAAGTCAAGAGATAGGGTCTATGGTCAACGTTTATCAAAGCAGAGATCAGCCTCCTCTGTGGTACATGTAAATTTTCTCCCTTTGGCAAATATTTCTTAGTAAAAAAAAATTGTGTCAAGTAGAGTGTTCAACTCTATCAAGTGATCTCATGAGATTAACATTTTCCCAAACAGAAAGGTGGAGTTACAAAAGTAGATTAAAGGACGCGTAAAATGTCCCAACATTTTTAAGCTATCGAGATAGTATTGGTAAGAAAAAAAAGTAGGTTTGTTTAAAGCTTTCGTGACTGCAGGGATGCATCTTCTTGATTCTTTCGGTAAAGTCACGTAGAAAGGAAATAATAAAAATAAAACATAATATAATACAATTCTCACGACGTTTCGGCCACAACACAAGTAGCCATCCTCAGGTGAAGAAACTGAACTGTCGGAAAGACAGCGCTCCAATGAACACCGCTAAGCTTGGCAGCGTATTTTAAGCTGGCTGGGAGAAGCAGAGCGCCTTGACAAAGGAGGTTACATATCAACAGAAGAATTTAGCATTGAAGTAGCTGTGTTAATGTGAGAGATTAGCAGGATGTTAAAGTCAGAAATTAGCATGTAACTGGGAGATTAGCATGATGTTAGTGTGAGGAATTAGCATGTAACTGGTCACGGAAGTAGCTATGTTAAAGTCAGAGTTTACATATCAACAGAAGAATTTAGCATTGAAGTAGCTGTGTTAATGTGAGAGATTAGCAGGATGTTAAAGTCAGAAATTAGCATGTAACTGGGAGATTAGCATGATGTTAGTGTGAGGGATTAGCATGTAACTGGTCACTGAAGTAGCTACGTTAAAGTCAGAGTTTACATATCAACAGAGGAATTTAGTATATTGACGCTAAAGAACTGCAACTACCCAACTATCATACAATAAACCGATGTGAAAGAACTAAATATAAACTACTAAGCTGAGCTACTAACAATAAGTCATTATACATTACACTTCTATGTCGCAAAAAATATTATAATATGCCTCCAACTAATATTTTTTATTATAAACTGCCATAGACAGGACGGCTGATAGATTATTACTGAATTTGCAACATTATACCCCACTGCACATTTCAAGCCACAAATGTGGATGTGTTTACGCCAATAGGATGATGAGCTGCTTCAACATGTGGTTAGGGGCCGTCCATAAATGACGTCACGCACCTAGGGGGAAGGTCAGACATTTGTGACGATGTGTGACTAGGGGGGGGGGGGGGTTGAGAAATGTGACCTCACATCAAAATGCGCAACTTTAAATAAATATAGACAACACGTTCTACTTCATTAAATTGACTTTTAAAAAAATGTTTTCTCCTACAACATCAGAGTGCAGCGGCACATTAAATACGCACTACAATGACAATAGTTTAAATCGATTCGAAGCATGTTTTATTTTTTGGGTGGGGAGGGGGGGGTCTGACTTTTTGTGAAGCCGTGTGACGATTGGGGGGGGGTCAAATCGTCCAAAATCGCGTGACGTCATTTATGGACGGCCCCTTTAAATCAATTCTGAAAATGGAAATCCACCATACACAATACGAATACCTGAACTAAACAACTGTTTCCAACACAACACGAATCTCACTTTTGTTGAACCCGCCTAGTTTTTTTCTAAAATGCCCGTCCTACGTGTACACGACACTGCATTTATTTCCACTTGACCGTAGTTTGTATGAAATCCAATTGCACAGCAAATGTGTGCGGCTTTGCAAAAGTGTTGCATTGTTAGCCGTTTAGTTTTGAAATCCTGTATGAGCCTTACTTTCTAATCTCAGACATACACTATTTCATCTTCAACACACCGGTGGGCTAAAGAAGTGAACTAATTGTCTTTTTGTCAACGTGACACTTTTTTTGCCGATTGGCCGTGTCGGGTGGTGGAGGGTTACGACACATTTTATAAATAACGCGATCTAACCCAAAAACCTTCATTGTGAAAAACAACACCGCCCAGCGTCTCAAATGCAACCTCGCTCCCTGCACGCACGGCTTCTGAAGGTTACTGTACGTTCGAGGGTGGCGCGGACACGCATGGGCGAAGGCCTGTGTCTGTGTGAGCTACACAACAAACACTGACTGAATGGCTCCCACAGCTCCTTTGACTGCCCATTTGGCAAACGCAACGCATGAACGGGCTGCAGCCACTGCCCCGACACGCACGTGCGGCATTGCAGCGTACGCACTCGGGAGCCACTCAGGTCTCTCTCTCTCGCTCTCTCTCTCACACAAAGCAAACGGTAGCGGGGGAATGACCGACAAGGTTTTCTCTCGAACCCATTCACGTGCGGGTTGAGCAACTGGCCCATGCAAGCGCGCTGTTCCACGGACAGAACACTTGTCCAAGCAGAAACTAGTCAACTAATATATAGACGGGAGAAGAGGTTGTGGGTGGGGGGGGCATTCCTATACATGCGTGCAATGTGCACAGAAGTCATGGCAAATGGTGCCACCCAAAGCAGGTGAATCATTATTTGCATTCCACGAGGTGATTAACGTGGTAGCCTCTTGAGCTAACAAAAAAAACGTTCCACGAAAGTAAAAAAAAAGGACCTGAACACAGGATAGTAAAAAAAAATAGCTTTTTTGTCAGGGAGCCATTAGGCTATTTATTTGCTATGCCCAGGATCTATGTCCATCCATCCATCTGTTCGTCTGAGGACATTTCACAAGTTGTCAATGGGAATAACGAATCCCCTCGACCAATTGAAAAACAACTTACTACGCGGCTTAGATACATCATTGCTCAGATGCGAATGGTGTTTTAGGCAAGGTGGGTGAAAGAATATTCTCAATACAGCATTTTTACGAGTGAAGCAAATGTCATTCTGTGCTCGACCACAAACAGCGCACGTGTCAAAATGCGTGCAAGCGAGTGAGTATAGATCGCGCATTCCTCACGTAAATAACTGTCTCTATGCATGTGCGATTTTGCATTCCCAAGCCTTTATATAGTTGAATCCAGCACACAAAATGGAGTTCCCCTTAGTGGACTGGCTTCCAAGCTTGTTATATAATTTGGACATGACCGAATTGCATTTGGGTCGTGCTCGTGGCGGCCGGCTTCACTTACAATCACCGGGTGGCAAAATGAACTCCGTGTAAATTACCCCCCGCAGGATTTATCATATTTTCATTATGGCCTTCAGAGAAGGACTCTCCCGCCATAAGAATGATGGAAATTCCACCGCTGCCTCGGAGCTGCTAATGTGGACGAGCACTTGAGCACTGAGACACTTGTGACTTTGAAAGTCCCATGTGATCACTGAGTCTATGCTTGCGAGATTATAGGAATGCATGCCCTTGAACAATGGCCACTCATAAATTCTATTTAACAGAAGGAAATGCCAAATCACAACGTAGCCCTGGGACATTTGGTTATGGAAGCCCCTTGGCAAAGAATGTACAATCATCATATGCTGCCAACAGTTACATATAGTTTTACAACAGTGGGTGCTTTATGCGCCTATATAACCTGGTTGAGACTCACATTTATTAGGTTTTAAACAGAACAGTACCACCTTCACCTTTCGCATTCAATACAGAAAATAGACCCTGCTGTTATTTCCCACCTTGAGGTGGCATTACTGCCACGGGCTATACACGACCACAGGCCCACATGGACGGTAGGGACTTAAAACTCGTTCAAAAGTTTAGCAGTGCCAATAGCCTCAATACATATTAACTACGTGTGGAAAAAGGATCTCTGGGCCATAGTCATGTTCAATTAATTGAAAAGTATACCCTTAAAAACCGGTGTTGTAAACATACTATAAACACATGGAGGAATCCGTGTTATTTTACATGTTTAAGTGGTGAGCTATGTGGTCAGCCTGCGATGCCCCCAACAAGAAATGTATTTAAGATCCAACAAAGGCACAACCTGGTTGCTCCTTGTCATACGATCACACATGGGAGGTGCTAGGTGCCTCCTCCCTGGGCGTGAGATGAAGCAGTTCCCCGATTGTAACTCCGGCGAAGAACAATCTATCCAATCGGATTGCCAATCATTGCCCAATACAAGCTTTCGAAGGAGGCAGAAATGGAATCTATCGAGCGACTCCAGACGTTTTCCAATGGCTTCAAAAACTCAGCATACAGCTGTGAACCCAATCCTTTTTATTTTCAAAGTACCACTAATTCATGGATGGCCCTTCCAATGCCTGACCCACAGAAGAGGTCTCGCTGGAATGGCACAACAACGTGGGTCCAGATGCACAGACTCACCGGTCTTGCCCGCTCCGCTTTCTCCGGTGATGAGAATACATTGGTCCTTGTCAGCGTCACGAAGTGAACGGTACGCCTCATCAGCAATTGCAAACCTGTCACGGCAATACAAGACGGCATAGCAAATTGAGCATCTCGTTCTGGGCATGGTGTTAATGCACACTTGCCGCGCAATGAGGTTGGGATTGGTGAATCACACAACAGATTAAGCGGTGCAGTAAGTAGGCGTCTGATCTATGCGTGTCGATTCAGTGCGAGCTTCTTGTTTGTGGAGATTTTATTTGGACACTCTGCTTCTTTCCACGAGAGAAAAATACTCACACCAGGCACAAGTATGAATGCAGCTTACTTCGTAAATACAGATAGTTCCCCAAGTTACGATGGTCCGACTTACGATATTTCGATCTTACGATGGCGATAGCAACGACGGACAGAATCTCGGTGAGTACAGTACAATATGACACGGTACGATACGTTAAATGCGTGCATGATACGTAGCTTTACCGATTTCATTTTAGGGTTACCGCGATAAGATACGTTCAGTGCATGTTAAAAGTTTTTTTTATATATATAGCAGATAGGATTGTGTCCTGAAAAAACTTTCTATTAAATTGCAGGTCATATAGGTAGGCTAAGAAGTCACCTTGGTTTTTTTACTTAACATTTTACCGTGCAATACAGTATTGCAATTAATAAATACATACAGTATATAGTTTATACAGTACGGTACTGTAAATTGCTCTGTTTTGCTAAATTATCACCATTCTTTAAGACTCCTGGGTAGGCTAGGCCATCTTCGACTTACGATATTTTTAATTACGATGGGGTCGTCGTAACGCATCTCCATCGTAAATAGAGGACTACCTGTACTAGTTGTTATACTCCGGACACGACTAATATGTGCAGTGACACAACTGTACAACAGCAGAATGTGTATCATCGTTACCATCAACCATGGTCGATCCGCAGCAGGACCTAGGTCTCTCAAAGCTGCCGCCACCTCTGACTATCCTGTGATATAACAATCCACCTTGTATCTGCACAAACTGATCTCATTGCTCCATCTCCTCAGTTAACATCTTCTTTGATGCATATTGAACCATCTGCCATATCCCTAATCGCGCCCGAGCTTCTCCGCATAGTTTGGATGATGCCATTCACCTGCGTATGTTCTGTAATCCATGTGTTCCTCTCTCTGTCTCTCAATGTAATTCCAAGCGCGCGTCTGTTCAAGCTTCCTTATGCACTTTTCAGTATTTTCACGAATGACCATGTTACTGAACCACAAGTCAAAGCAGTTCGTGCTGATTTAAAACTGTCTTCTGGAGCCACATTGGTGCATTACTTTTCATAATCAAGTTTATTTTTTCCAAAAGCACTCCAACCTGTTCTCATCCACCACTTTCTTTAATACATTTTTAATTTGCAAATGTTGTGTTTGATGCTATACATTTGCAACTGCAGCACTTGACAGATAACTTAAATGTTGCATGTATTTCCTTGTTCATTTACTTGTAACTAAAAAAAAACATGGCTTGAATAAGGATTTGTTTCAGTGGTCCCAAATAGCTTAGTCCCAATACCTTCTCATCGTCCGTATTTGGTTCATCCAAGTTTGCAATGACAACAGCGAAAGTGCATGATGAATGTAGATTATTTCGTTTTAATCTCACTTAAATCAACACATGATGACACAAATTTGAGGCTTTCATATATAAAAAAAAACATGGGTCAATTGTAGCAGTGGGATATTTTGCATGCACGTGTTAACGCTACCAGATGGGAAGAAGGTGGATAAAAAAAAAACTTTCTAACCGTATAAAACCGCCGTCTTTGAAGTACGAGATATTTACGGTCTTCTGAGAGCCTGGGCCATTCTTTAACGAGCGGCACTAATTCACCTCGACATGCATGGGCACTAAAGCTACCAATTATTGTGCAGGTCTCATTTAAACCCAGAGAGGTCATCAAGGCCCGCTCGGAAATGATTACGACCCAATCAGTTGTCGTCCACCTACACGCGCTCGGTGAAAAGTTCTACTGGTAACGCCCCCCGCCCCGAACGAGCACCTCGACATTTCAAAGGCATCGCTCTTGCCTTTATGCCCTTTGTTCAGCCCTGCAAACGAGCGGAGATAGCACGGGGAATTTGCCGGACGAGCCCAAGGTCAAGAGTCCAGGCCTGCGTTAGGACGCGACGGTGGCCGTAAAGATGCACGGCGCGCGCGTGGTGCTGCTAGTGGCGCCACAGGAGGAGCGTGGAGTGGAGTGGGGGGGGGCGAAGTCCTGGGTTGTTATATTGCCGCACGTCGACGCACTGTGTTGCTCGCGTCCCCAGTGGGCACTCGCCACACCTGATGATGATGATGATGATGCTGTTTGCCAACCTTGACGCAGAGGTGCACGCTCAGCTCGGTGTACGTAACTGCGTGCCTGGCGGCATTTGTAGAATTGCGCCGTCGAATGTTACGTTAAGTAACTGCTTTGGAAAAGTAAAGATACACCTATGCAGTTGTAATAATAAGGCAATTAAAGACAAATGTGAAGACCGTCCATTGTCAAACAAGCAGTGCTCATGTCCATGAGTGGTGCTCAGCTTCAGGTGTACATTCCACATTCCCATGGTTATTAAAAAAAAACCCATTGCTGCCTTTTCACAACGTGGTACTTTCTTTACCAACACTAACAGAATGACGTGCCGAGTTGAATACGGTACCACATACGTGATGTGCACAAACTAAATAACGGAACAGCATAATTGCTGCCATCTCTGATACTGTAACTATACACTTTTGACAATCATGGTTTTATTCGCACCATTCACGGTAGAAATAGTGTGCTCAAACATTCACGTATGACACGTAACGGAATTATTGGTGAAACGTGCCATTTACCGTTCCGTGAAAAATATTTTGCAGCACAGATGATCTGTGCCACAGTTCTCGAAAGGCGTTCGTTCACTCACTCTCCCACACCTCACACACGAACGCAACTATGGCATCACGGGAGCATGGGCACAGATGGGGGGCGCGGGGGGGGGGGGCAGGGACAAAGTGCCTCTGCTCTCACCTACAACCACCCATCCTCACCAAAGTGCTCGCCATAAATGAACCACAATACGTTTCTGATATCGTCAAGGAGCATAAAAACCATCGCGCGAGCTCCAGTCATTATCGCAGCGGCAGCAGCTTTTGATCGGCCATCGAACAAAGACGGTCACAGCATCGCGCTCTTTCAGATGCACTTCTGCGGCCGTCTGGAACGCTCTTCCTTCAGATATTAGGAAGCTACTGGGAGCTGTGCCACTTTTAAACCTGGATTCGGAAACTAATTTCTTTAGAACTGGTCTTTGTGTTTAGTTTATTGTCCTTCCCCTGCACCTCCGATTAGCACGGTTGACTACGTATGGTGCGAAAGAAGTTCAAAATCTCCATATATATAAAAGGCAAAGTTGTGATTATGTTGTGTCTGTTCAAAATGTTTAGCGTACTTCCCGACATACAACAAACTGGAAATTTGCCATGTAGGTACTTTCCAGACTGTACACCATGCAATTTTTTTTTTAAAATACACGTTTGTTTTTTTTTTGGGGGGGGGGAGCTCAATAATGCATCTATTTTTTGCAGGGCAAATGAGCTGTGACGTCAAATCTGTCATGTGACCCGCGCACGTGGAAGCGTAACGCATTGTAGTGTAGTGGTTAGCGCCACGCTACGAACCCAGCGACCCCAGTTCGATTCCCGCTCATGGCCACCACTGGTGACGATTATTTGAATCGGTCCTGGGCCTACCCTAGGTCGACTCAGCCTCAAACGAGTAACCGGTGTGGTGTGTGAACATCGCCACTGGGGAGACAAAGGCGGCCGGGCGTGGTGGATCCAAGTCCCGGGTAGTACAGCTAGTACATACATATATGAGGCTCTGCTAAGTGATACAAATACTGAGAATATACCAAACTGTCACTTTACAGTTCTAACCAATCAGCCTCCTTTGTGCCATAATGTCATTCTATTGCCATTAGTTATTCTAATGACTACCTGAGATGGTGAACAACTTATCTATTTACAGTCAGTCTTTTCATTTCCCTGATCCAATTTATACAATAACAATGAAAAAAATAAATTACTGTAAACGTAAATCAAATGCATCATATTGACCGCTAAGAAATATAAGCGGGCTTGGGTAGTGCATATCCCGAGGAGAGATGGCGGCCAATGATCGAGACGGTCATGGAGTGGCGGCCGAAGGTGGTAGCACAGATATTTAGTGTGCTGATCCTAAAGGTGCGTTGAAAAATTTGATACTCCGACTGATGCTCCTGCTGTTGTTATGGAGTGACTCATGCAGCCAGCTATGGCTGCAGGGTTTGGTGGTACATGTTGTTTATGTCGTTTATTGTGAAAATTCGGTCACAGTTCCTATGATCACTGTTACATTGCTTTCATGGCTTTATTTTGGTGATTTCGAAAACGTTTTTTGGTGGTCATGTTTGTTTGTTGTAGTACGGAGTTAGACTGATGGCCTTAATCTAAGTTGTCTTGTGGTTGTTGTTGTTGTTGTTTGACTTGCATCCCACTGGGATTTTTGCACACAGCGTTGGTGTACGGTGCTTTTTCTGGAATATTTTGCCGTTTTTTCCCGGATTTTCTGTTTGCACAGTCACATAGTCACTTAAAGATGTTTTCTTGTTTTTGTTTTTTGTTTGTTGCGGTTGCACCCGATTCAAGAGCCGAATGGCTCACAGGGCTATATACCAAATAAATGAAACTGAAAACTGAAACTGAACTCATGGACAAGCCCATCGAGCCAAGTGGCATTGCGGTTAAAGTGCATGGCTGTCACTTGGAAGGATAAGAGTTCAAATCCAGGTCACGGGTCGAGCCAGCCCATCATCATTCTGGGCTGAGTACAATGATAAGCACTTTGTGGAGGTACAGAAATGATTGTCTCATGGAAAGACTGATCCCCGTCAGAGGACTGTGGCATTAGATCACTGGCTCTGGATCACCATCGATTATGAGCACTGGACAATTTCACATTTGATGTCCACGTTGCTGTTCAGTGATTTCCCCGTGAAAGATAACAATTGCGGCCCTCTGTGAAGTCACTCATTCAGTCATGCTGGAACTAAATCTAGCTACCTCAAGAAAGGCACTGGGTGAAAACTTTGCTTAGCTCAGCATGAAGCGTATGCAGGCTCGTGGAGTGGTAAATGTGCTGACAGAGCCCATGGGTACGTGCTCTTTGTGCATTTAATTTATAGTCTCGGTGTTATACAATTCCAAAATCCTCACACAATCAGTGAGGAAAAGAAACATCCATTAACTTTCAGACAGAACAAGTAAATATACGCTTTACACGTACATTAACAGTTTCTAAAATGACAATATAACATTATGGAATTGAGAGTGTTGGCTGCTATACATTTCCACATGATAAGCCACTTCTCAATGCTATCATTTCTGGCCAGGTCTCTTCTGTAAAAGAGCTGTATAGCTCAGTGGGCCTTACCTGGTAAAAGAAAAGAAAAATATTTAACCTCTTCAGCTCTCAGGAGCAACAGCAGTAAACACACTTAATTTAATAATACACTTAATATGTAAACCAACGCAGAAATGAACCACCAAGAATCCCCACATTGTCAGTTTGCCAGCTTAGGAGGTCATTAACAGGCCATGTCAATTGGTCTGAAACGTGACTTTTTTATGGGACTTTGAGTCTTCCACAGAGCAGGGCTTGCGGCTGTGGTCCAGGGGTAAAGAGATATTTCTCTATAGAGAACTGTAGAGGATATCCCATGTGAACTGAACTTGAGCTACATTAGAAGTGTGTGTGTGTGTGAGCTACTTAAAATGCAGAGACCAGGAGGTAAAAAGTGCATGCAATAACAATGCTCAAAGGCCTCTATCAACAACACAGCAAGGGGAACAGAACGGTAAGGTTTTCCTGGAGAAACTCGATATTATGTTGAGCTTATTTGAAGGTGATGTTTGTTGGGCATTGTGTCTTTTATGTCCTTGTCAGTCCCTCTGTGTCTACCATACAAGGGAGGCATTCAGAATTTACGCTTTTCAGAAGTGCTGCCACCCATTGAAAATGTAAACAGGACTATGCTGGTCGTGTGTTTGCTGTCCCGGTTGTGTGCACAGCCACTATAGTTGGGAAATTGAATGACATGGCTTTGAAGTGGAAGCGTTGGTTTTCAGACACGTGATTTCTTCAGCAACAAAGAAGATGAAAGAGGTGATAGATAAAGTGCTAAAATTATGGATTCTGATCCGTGGGGTAAGCATGCCGATTATGCTATGGAGTCAACTTAAAAAACATTAACCAAGGAGGTGGAGTCAAGAATTTTAAAAAGCTCCGTGAACTTTTCTGCGATAAACACATTACCTTGCAAGCAAACGACCAACCCCTGTGGGACCCTACATATGGTTGTAATTAGCGAAGGAATTAGATTTTTTTTTCTTCGTTCTTTCAACTATGCAGTCTCCTGTCGAATCATGACTTTAAACGTATGGCAATAAAAATGTAACAAAAAAAACACAACCTAGTTTAACACTTAGGATGTACAAGTGACCAGATTGAATACATGTGAATAAATACCTCGTGATGAGTACCAATAGTGCATACTTTGTGTTGGTCTTAGTGCTGCAGTGCAATGGTCTCACTTTTCGTATAGAAATATCCAATGTTCCATTGCATCGGTCGTTTCAAAATAATAAATATACATTGTGGACCAATGATGCAATGTTTTAACCAACTAGCTGTGATCATCAAAAAACTAATTTGTATATATATTTTTGAATGAACCTTTTCCCAAAGAGCATATGCAAAATTTACTCAAATAATAGCATCTACAGGAAGTCTGGTATACAGCACGTGTGAATATTTACCCTCAACACTTTCGAAATATCACAACTCCCCACAACCACCTGCGCATACATTACAGCACCGAGTTTCAAGACTACGCATTATCTTGTTCTGTTGCTAGACGAGAAATAATTACAAACCACACATGTAACATTTATACAAAGCGACACATATCAGAATCTGAATATGAATTTATACTGGAGGAATCCGATGAGCTATGAAGCTGTTTTTTTTTTTCACACATGTCCAGTCGGGGTGGGTAAGAACGTTACAACACCAAACAATACAAAAACGCGATAGCAGTGCAAAGTACAAGAAAGGTGAACAAAACACCCAAGCACAAACAAATACATCACTAAACCATCCCCATCCGACCAAACAAAGCCCACTGAGGCATTAACATAGTTGTCAAAAGTGACCTGGCCACAAATGATAGCTTAACAAAGTGGCTTTTTACGTGGACATTTATCGCAGCAAAATAGCAGCACCACACAAATGCTTTGCCCTTCATCTTTTAATTGGTCTGGTGTGACTAAGTTTCGTTTAAAGCAATGCAAAGAAAGTCTTTGAAGAGACTACATCACTTTCTGTCCGGAAATCCCCCACATTAATCCACCAAAATAGATCTCTTACAATGATTGGATGATATAAATTCATTGGTGAGACACTAACAATAAATCTTTGGTGTTTATCATTATCTGCAAATAACTCCATTGCCAGACATGTTATTGTGCTCCCAGTAGAAGAGTGTAGAATTGACAATTTTACTTTTATAAGGAGTAATTAATAATAAGCAATAAAATAGGAGACTCATAACCTGGAAAAAAAATATTTTCTATTGCGTTTTCATTCAAGAGACGTGTGTTTTTCAACCGCAAAAATGCAACCACCTACGTCGCATTTTACCTTCTCAATATAAACATTTGTAAACTCTAAATAACAATAATCATGGCTTAATACAGCAGACAGATGATGAAAATAATAGTGAAACAAGACCCTTGTAGACAATATCCCCCAGTTTCGATTTAAAGCTTTCGTGACTGCAAGGATTCATCTTCTTTGGTTCTTTCGGTAAAGTCACGTAGAATGAGAATAAAATAATAAATTGATAAAATAAAATAACACAATAATATTCTCACGACGTTTCGGCCACAACACAAGCGGCCTTCATCAGGTGAAGGGGACGAGACTGTCTGGAGGACAGCTCCAGCTCCAGCGCTGTCCTCCTTCACCTGATGAAGGCCGCTTGTGTTGTAGCCGAAACGTCGTGAGAATATTATTGTGTTATTTTATTTTATCAATTTATTATTTTATTCTCATTCTACGTGACTTTACCGAAAGAACCAAAGAAGAATATCCCCCAGTGCCTGTGAGACGATGAGAGGCACAGTCGTGGATACTCACACATGGGGGCTGAGCTCGTAGATGTTCCGGTTGCGATACTCCTCCACTTTCTCCGCGGAGTAGATAGTCAACGGCTTGTAAGGGTTCACCGACAGGACCACGTTCCCGATGTACGTCTGTCAGCAGGAGGGAGAAATGCATGGCAATTAAAATGTCCCGTGCCTTTTATGAGCATGGCCACTAAGGCCATTGCCAATTAAGGGAATTATACCTGGAAGTGTTCGAAGGAGGCGTGCAATGCTTTGCTGAAAAATCATTTCTGACCCACTGTATTTTCTAAACAATGGCTTATTATACTCTTTGGTTATTTCGGTAAAGTCACGTAGGTAAAATTTTCATAATTAAATAAAATTTAATCAAATAAAACAAAAATGAAAACAACTAAATTAAATCATTTATTTTATTTTATTAAATTTCATTTAATTATTACATTTTTACCTACGTGACTTTACCGAAAGAACCAAAGAGTATGGATCCTTGCAGTCACAAAAACTTCAAATCGAGAATGGATTCTTATTTTGTTTTGAAACATTTTGTTTGTCTTCAGAGCAGTCATGCAACTTTCAGTGATTAAACAAAAAAAATGTCATTTTGTGTAAACCATGGTCATCGCACCCCACAGTCCAGTTCTCTGTGTCTATTAGACGACAAGCACATGCATTCTTTACACGTGGATGGAGACGGTTAGTATGCAGTGAACACTGGAATCCTGCATCACCAGTGGTGGAAATTCCACGTTTCTATGTTGGGTGTTTGGTCATTACATCGGAAGACAACTGTTGATTTCCCACAAGGTAGGGTTGATATTATTGACCCTCGCAAAAAAAAGGAGCAAGTCAACCACTTGACAAGGATTTCAACTTGTAACCTTCATATGTCAAGTCAGGCGCTCCAACCACTGCGCCACTCTGCTGGTTAAATAACCCACACCGATTGTCATTAGAGGCATTAAAGTGGATATCTGCTGTGTAACTAAACGTACATTTTTGGTTGTATATAAATTAACACTTTGCGGTTTATTGGCGGCAAATATATATTTTTAAATAATAATAAAGTCAGTGGTCCAACAACTGCAAACATTTTCCTATTTCTGTTACTTCATCATTCCTTCAATGGCACACAAATTATTGATGAGAAGCGAGATAGATGTGCAGCTCACTTCGATATCGACTTGAGATAAATACAAACTTGATTGCGGATCAGCAACAACTTTTCAATTCACTTTTGGCAACACCAAAATATATTTAACTAAAAAAACGTATATATGCATGCCCCTTCCACGTAAAACACACCCACACACTATTATAAGATCATTTTGTTATTGTATTTTTGTCACACAAAAAAAAACATGCCTTCGGGCAGAGCATTCCCCATTTCCAAGCAACATCTGGTTTGCGTTTACGGAGCTTTCCAGACTCGGGAGCTTTTTAAAACCGTAGATGTCTTGTGGTCAATCTGTGTCCTATTACCACTCCACTGACAGCACACATGCACGCACGCACACAGACAACCGCAGGGCTTCTATGCAGTGGCCGATCCTGTTATGGACTGCACGTTATCTCACATTCACCTTTGATTTACATTCATACCACCTCTTAAAAATAAGGAACAACAATGTATTAAAATGTTCTCATGATTCTTGTTATCTTTCACGGATAACCGTAAAAAGGGTGTACATTCTTACGAGGTATGTATGTCTTGTCACACACGTATCTAAGCACCTTTGCACTCTGTGGGAGGTGTGTCAAATAGATCGATATTCAAACTACGTATTCATGTTTATGACTTCTAATTCGTACCATGAAATGTCGAAGAGAAAGAAAACTATGCAATCATCAGTCTGGGCTTTTAAGGATTTGAGCGAGGTCTGTAAAACGTGCTCCGTGAGTAGCTGAGACCAATAACATATGCAATTATCTGAAGAGGTGAATTATGGTTTTTCACCCATGGTTAACAGACGGGGCTAGACACATGGGATGGAGTAAAATGAATGCAGCGATTAGCTATACTTTTGCATCATAAATAACATGTATAACGCTACTTAACCTTATGGGAAAGGGTCATATAACATTCATAGAAAGTTCCTTGGACGTGTTTTCACACTGCTGTATGCTAATAAATGACGACTTAATGAGTTCACTAATATATATTATTTTCAGTGGGGACGTGATGATCAGCCACTATCCTATACATTAACTGGCAAAGGCAGGGCATTGGTATCAGGAACAATGTGACATTAAGTCAATTAAATGCCTGTTTTTAATGTTAATAGAAATAATTCATGAAAAAGTAAGAATAGGTTTTATCCTTTCTGAAATTAAAACAGATGTTAAGATGTTCAAACACCAAACAGAATCCTTATGCAAGAAATAATGTCTGCATTAACCACACGTACTTGCGGTGAACATGCAAACAAAACATGCTCTGGTAATTTTTGCATTGTCTTTGAAACTGATTGGTCTACACCAGAGACAGCCCTCTTTAGGGCCTAGTCTCACCAGTGTCAGACCAGGGAACAACGCCACAAGGCGAACAGCACAAAGACAATGCACTGTCAGGGCACGGATAGCTCGGGGGAGAGCAGCTACAAAATGGGACCTTTTTTGATACTGGCAAAAAAGTCCTATTTTGTAATAATTCAATTAATGCAACAAATTGCTTTTTAAATAATTTGGGCATTCGAAACCCTTCTCGAACATTTTCAAATAAGTAGAATTGGCAAATCTTTATCATCTTCTTTGGTTCTTTCGGTAAAGTCACGTAGAATGAGAATAAAATAATAAAATAACACAATAAAATCCTCACAACGTTACTAGTTGCCTCTGTGGATGTGTAGGTTTTGACTTTAACATAGCCATTTCTGTGACCAGTCCCAAGCTAATCCCTCAGCTATTTGATATGTAAACCCCCTTTGTCAAGGTGCCTCACTTCTCCCAACCAGCTTAAAAGTCGCTAGGAATCTTAACATCGTTCATTGAAGCTCTGTCGTCCCGACAGGTCTGTTCCTTTCACCTGAAGACGGCCGCTTGCGTTGTGGCCGAAACGTCGTGAGAATTTTATTGTGTTATTTTATTATTTTATTCTCATTCTACGTGACTTTACCGAAAGAACCAAAGAAGATGAATCCTTGCAGTCACGAAAGCTTTAAATCGAAAATTAAATCTTTATCAGATACAAAGCATCCCTGTCTGTAACAATGGCAAATCGTAGACTCGCAAAATGGCCACACATGGTCAGAGAGAGGGCAGAGAGGGTCACAGATAAACACTTAAAATGGCTATGAACGCATTCATATTACGTTTTAAGAGCTGACAGATACAATGCGCAAATGTAATACTATATTCCCGGCACATAAGATAAATGTGTCTGTGTAAAGCCTGCCAATGTTTTGACAACCTCAAAAGCAGAAATTAAGTTTCACTTGTGGCTATTTGGTGCAGATTCAGTTCACCTTACTCTTTGCTTCTTTCGGTGAAGTCACGTAGGTAGAAAAATAAAATTAAATATATCACGACGTTTCCATCGCAACACAAGCGGTCGTCCCCAGGCGGAAAAAAAATAATCCAGCAGTGGAACTGCTGATATATTATTTATTTTATTTTATTTTTCTACCTACGTGACTTTACCGAAAGAACCAAAGAGTATGGATCCCTGCAGTCACGAAAGCTTCGAATCAAGATTCAGTTCACCTTGTGTGCAGTCATCAAATGTCCATCTGAAATGTTGAAGTTCAACAGAAAACCATCATTGTTCACCAGCATTGATTCAAGCACGCCTGGTTGTGCTGATGAGAAACTGTATGTCAAAACTAATTCATAGTGTATGTGTACTGCATTAATGCTGATGAAATGATAAATTCCCAGAAGGCAGTGGGGCTGATTGCCTGATAATAAATTTTCTTCCTGATATTCTACACAATGACGATAATGATTACTTAGTGCTCTGTAACCAAGATGTCAAAACAGCAACACAAAGAGCACATTGTGGTGAACGCGGTTAATTCTTGGTGACGACCAGCTGATAAGCAGAGTGTGTGATTTTCATACCGTTAGTGCTCTTTGTACCCGAAGAAACCCGCTTGTTACAATGAGACATGCACATTTCATAGAGATACCCACTCTTATGAAACACAGTGGCTGTGGTCGTGAAATGTATATTCAGCCTGTAACGAACCCACTAAATTTAACAATTAATTTAACCATGTAAAGGCCTTTATCAATCCACTTCTGGATGAAGGTCTCCTCAAAGGTCATGGAGAACGCTAGTGACAAAACTTCAAGATACTTGGCAGTGCGGCTTGGTTAAGGAGTGGCGGTGGGGGGGAAAGACCAAGGGATGGTTAAAAATAAATCTTGCCACCGATGCTAGCCGTGACCGGGAACTTGCAGGCGCAGAGCGAAGTGCCGTGCATCATTGCCCCAACCACTCCATCCCAAAAAACAACCACATCTAAAAATGTGTGAGGCAAGTGCATGACTATGTAGAACCCCCGTTGCCGCCGTCACAACAGAAAGCGTCTGTTCAATGAACGTGTGTTTGCCTGCAGTGTGTAAGGTGTGCTTTAGACATGTGTGTACATGCAAGCAAGTGTGTGCCTTGTGGCATAAACACATCAAAACACATCAATAGCATAATCACCTTGAATCAGATAGATTTATACGGTAGACAGGACATGATGAGATTTGACGGGCCAAAGGCTCATTGATGAAGCTTGGGGGGGGGGGGGGGAATTAGTAATTTAGCTAAGACCATTTGATCTCACTACTTAAAAGGATACGTTTGATTTCTGTTCGAGTATATTCTCTCCGTGAGTAGGGGAGCAGTGAGCCCAATCGCTCTTCCCTCCCCTTTCCCCCATGGTCACCTGGCCTGGGGCTTGTCATCCGCGGAATACCTATACCCCTTTCCCCCCTATCGCTACGTGCTTTATAATGGGCTGTTATTCACACAAAAAACACGTTTAAAAAAAGTATATGTTTGATAAGCCGGAATGGCTTAGCATATTCTCAGAGCTCCCTGTGCTTTCTACCCCCCCCCCCCCCGAGCCACCACATTTATGTTTTACGCCGAAGTGTGCTAGGAAGGGGGTGGGACGCAGTGAAGTGGCGGAGGTCGATCGTACGTAGAACTCGTCGTGCTTGAAGCGCTCCCTGAGGTTCTTGAGGAAGGAGTCTTCGGTGAGAGGGTCCAGCAGCACCATGTCCGCCAAGCCCACCTTGTCGTCCAGCAGCGAGGTCACCTTGCTCTGCTCCATGATGGCCGATCACTGCAGCCTCTGGGATGAGACGGCACACTGGATCACACTCTAGCAGGAGCAGATGGGAGCGGAAGGAACGAGGGACCGATGCAGCGGAATGATCGTGCAAAGGGTTTTTTTTGTTCCCACCGGACTTTGTGCTCTCAGCAGGTCTCCTCATAAAACCTAACGTTGTTGCATAACTTTATAAGTACTGTACTGCATTGCACATCGGCGAAAATCATTGCACACAGGGGGAAGTTACTGCTAATAAATATCACCTAAATTTTCCATACAGTAAACGATATGGGTGTAATTATCCGCCCTCCGACCCACCCCCGAGACACTTCGATGAAACGTTACGATTGAGGGTCACGATGCGTTTCAAGAATTGATTTTTTTATTTCGTTCACATTGTGGAGAATGTAGCACCACGAACAGCTGCAGTGATCACTTGAGTCGATCACATACGACATCTACAAATTTAAAACGTCGATTGTGAGACATTTGCCATAAGCGTCAATAATCTACACAGCATCATCAATATCATGAAGTGAATATTATGAAGCGCACCTCCAGGTGATCGGCAAGACTGCGTCATCGTGAACAGCATATGGACACGCCTCCCAGATGCTTAATGCGGTAGTTTAGCAACCACGCATCACGATGTGTATCAAATACGGCAACAAAGAGAACACAAGATTACACCTGAAGTGCGCTAACAACATCATCGCTTGTGACGTGTTAGAAGTTACAGGAGTGGTACAGCAGTGACATCACAAGGGCGCTCCTGGTGAAATGCAAACGCTTCGTTTGTTCGTTTGCAATAATAGAGATTAAAACTCATTTTGAACAATATGGGTCACCAGCTACGTGCCGAGACGGATAAACGTTATTTGTGTTTTTCAGCTGCATCTTCCTTTACATGAATTTGGAAGCTTAATGCGCGGCGTTTACAAAATAAAAGTAGGCATTTCCCTGATTCCTCGAACTTGCAGGTACTTTATATTAAATTGTCTGATGCCATAAATGTTTACCAAAAAGAAGTATAACATTAAAAGGATACACACATTAAAACACATCACAAGCATAATCACCTTGAATCAGACACATTTATCCGGTAGACTGGCCATGACGAGATTTCAGGGGCTAAATAACTCATTGATTAAAAGTAAAGTAATTGATTTCAAACCCTAATATTATTCACACTCATCCCTTTATCCACCAGGTTAATCAGAAGCCCTGTAAGAAAAGTGCCAGCATCTGCTGTGCCAACGGACGTATTTTCACACGATTAATTACGCATTGGTTGGATTTCTGCCTGGAAAAGTCTATTCAATCATTTACAATTACATGACATTTACGAGTTAAAGTGACACGGGTTTTTTGGCAGAATAGTTGCCCTTTTAAAATGTTCTATGCTGGGTTTTTTTTCTATCTCTATCCTCTGAAATGTATTTTAATCTACATCTTGAGAGAATGTACAATTCACCAATTAACACATTTTTAGCACCTGTCACTACGACGATTGAGGCCACGAATAATGTAGACACCGCAAGGTAATTTTACTCAATGTCAACGGCAGTAATTTTTTTTAATGCGAGATTGCTCCATTTTAACCTTTAAATATCAATCTGTTCCATTTAAAGTCGACGAAGTGTTCATGATTCTGAGTAAGGCAAGGTAGTTGTGTTGTTCCTAATCTTTTTTTCTAACAGAGTTGTGCGAGTTAAATCTTCATTAAGCATCTTCAATTTCTCCTCTTCATCAACACACCTTTTGTTCTTTCAGATAAATCGTTCGAGGTTTTTTTTTACATTTCCCCCCACTTTCAGGCACTTTTTTATATATAATGTTGAGGTTACAATTAACAAAGTTGCTTCTACTATTTTACTATTTTCCTGCGACTCTGCACGACATGCCAATCACGGTTATGCCCTCTTGGGCCCTGAATCACATATTTAAGGTGTCAATGGGCAACAATCATAATAAGCGGTAAACTGTTAAAATGTTAAAATAGTATTAGGCCTAAAATGCCTAAAGTATACAATGCCTAGGCCTAGATGACTAGTAACGGATTACAGTCAATGGAATATTTAGTGAACCCCTAAACAATGTAGTTGTATGTATGTTGAACTTGTCGCGCCATAGGTAGCAAACCTTGCTAATCGGAGGTGCGGGGGAAGGACAACAAACTAAACACAAAAATACATTCTGATGAAATAAGAAAGTATTACTTGTTTATAAATCAAGGAATCCAACATGTGTCAAGATTGCGGCAGATCAAAAGAAATAATTACCAAATAACTCCAGATAGAGGCTTTGATTGATTAACTCAACGAGATTATGACTGGGCTACAAGACGCAAAAACAAACATGCCACAAGCTGCCTGGGGGGGGGGGGCTTGTCCAGATTGTACTCACATCAACGAACACCAGTTAGTGCTACCACTTCATATCGAGGACACGGAATTACATAATGCCCCGGTAAACGCATGCACGCGTCTATTACGTACACGTAATTACTCGAAGAAGTCGAGGGCATTATCCAGTTGCTCTTGTCCCATTAGTGACGCATTGTGCAGAGAAAGTAAAACATTCTCCAAATTGGGGTGGCTGGGTTAGGCGCTGAGGATGCCAGCTGGTCTCCGAGGTCATGGGTCACTTGCCTGTAACTGCAATCACAGCCCTGCCCACTGAGCACCCCGAGTGTGCGTTTACAAAAGCGTGCTGTCCTTCAGAAGACACGCTCATCCCTGTCCAGATTTGCGGCCTCTAGACATCGTGCGACACTCTTCTCTTGGCAAGAGCGGACTATGCATTGCGTCTCTTTGTCATAAGCAAGGGTGGGCTTTCAGTTATTTGAGTAATTGCTACAATTTAGCGGCACAACCAACCACGTTAAGCGATCGCGTGAACGCATGCCAGGGAGCTATCTCTCGTTAAACAAAAAAAAACGAATCCAGCCAATGTATAAATTGAAACTATTATTTTTTTTGCCGCCAGTGATTTCTAATGTTGTCTCCCGTCCTTTATTGACAAAAACAATTCGCGAAAGAGTTCAACAAAAAAAAACGGCAGGCAGCTCAATGATTCCATTCGAATTAAAGATAATATAATCAATACGTAAATGTAGCATTCCATAAATAATGCTCATTTAAACTCGCATGGAATTGCAAAATTATGTTAGCACCATATATATTTCAAATAAAAAAAAAGTGGCGATGGGGGGGAGGGGGCTGGTTGTGGGGGGGGGGTTAGGGGGAAGAGAGATGGGGTTGGGGGGAGGGGGCGGGGGGGGCTCATAAAAGTTTAATCGTGGAGTCTTCGTACGCGCTTGGCGGAGTGGAACTACACCGCCCCGTTTGTCATTGCAGTGGCTGGAACACTCGGTGCATTCCCATCTCTCGCACCCAGTGCCCCCTGCACATATGGCCACACTGCCCTGCAGCGGGCTCCGAGGCCGCATAAGGAACCCTAATTACCCACCGCGCGTGCGTCCGTATGTACGTGCGTGTGATGTTCAGTCTGGCCATGGTGGTCAAGATTTTTGTTTTGTTTAAGCGTACACAAATCGATTTCTGCGAACCACACTTTCTGTGTTTCCTGCAAAATGAATAATCATTGAAACCAAACGACTATTAAACGTATTCTTTGATTCTCTCTTTCTACGTGACTTTACCGAAAGAACCAAAGAGTATTTCTTCCAGTCATGAAAGCTCCAAATCAATATTAAACTTATGTTAAGAGCCTTTTCTTCCGATATATACCGACGGTCATTCGAAATTGGTGTTGTATAAAGTTCACAACCAAGTAGAACTTTCAAAGGCATCAATTAACAGCATAGTTGAATTAAATTCAGACATGCCTGTGATTAATTTGCCACTCTTAGAAACAAGTATCAGCGTCAACGATGAAATGCCCATCAGTTTATTATAGCGATAATATTCCTCTTACGTTTTTTTTTATTCAGTCACGAGTGCCAAGTTTCGTGCCTAAATTCGCATCCACATTTGACACGTGAGGGCCTTTAAACAATTGAACAACTGCTCAAGTCAGACCCAGCTGTCAGGCGCAACGACCTCAGACGCTTTGATGATCAGCCCTAAAATGGTCATGCCTAACTTGCAACGAGTGTGGCACCACTCGCATGTTACGCTGGTCGTTGCCAGCTGCGATTCTCCGGAATTCCCAGATACATTACGGAATGGATGTTGATTATGTGCACAATGCAGGAGAATTCCAAGCCCTGCACAACATGCGCACAAAACTCACTAATATTTTAAAAAATATATATCAAATGTTGTTGGCACAATGCAATGTGCCAGCAACTTTTATTATCAACTAGCTTGGATTATTGTCTCGGATTAATACACGTCCTACGCTGAGGGTTGGGGGGGGGGTACGTGACGTCAGCAGGCACATTGCGTGACGCTGCCGCATGCGGGTGACATCACAGATGTGACGTCACCGCTCACTTGCCGTACTAAATATATCCATTATTGCACCCCTCCCCCTCAAATACAAGTCTATTTTTATACTTTTTGCATTGTGAACAGTCTGGAAGATACCCACATGCCAAATTTCAAGTTTGTTGTATGTTGGACAGTACGCTAAAGATTTTGAACAGACACACATATTCACAAATTTCCCTTTTTTATATATAGATTAGTTTATTGAGTAGAAATGTTTTTATTTGTGAAGTGTTTGTATGTTACTCATATGCCTAATTACAATCTGGTCACCAGAAACATTTTTAAAATGTATTTCTCATCAGGCCCCATGTTGTCAAGTGCAGTCTCCAACCTTTATAAACTCAATCTCTCTGGCCTCTCTCTGTGCTGTGTAGAAGCACCATTGTACAAAACGTTACCTATGATACATGTTATTCTTTTTATTTTAATGCGGTGTTTGTGACGAATGTGTTGTGTTGTTCTGTTTAAATGTCTATCTTTCATTTGGTGATGCTGCCAACGCATCTTCACCAAATTATTTGTTCATTTTATCCACGTCAACCTTTGGTGAGGAGGAGAAATAAATACAATATTCATCTTCTTTGGTTCTTTCGGTAAAGTCACGTAGAATGCGAATAAAATAATTATTGTGTTATTTTATTTTATCAATTTATTATTTTATTCTCATTCTACGTGACTTTACCGAAAGAACCAAAGAAGATGAATCATTGCAGTCACGAAAGCTTTAAATCGAAAAATACAATATTCTACAGAAATCTGTCACACCTTCACAGTGGTGGTTCATTGTTCGGCATGACACAGAAGAGAAAGTCACCTGGCAGGCGGCGTGAATTATTGGCTACACATAAACAAACCGGCTAAAACCACCCAATGTGCCTAACATGGCCCCCAATCACCTAGGAGGGGCATATATTTTATGAAGCAATCGAAGATGGACTTTTTACAGGGCACATGCAGGTCCTTACCCTCATCTCGCGAATATGAGCCGTGAGGGCTGGGCGTCGTTATCACTCAGCTTTATCACCGCTGGCGAGGAAAAAAGTCCTGTGCATTTTAAACGAGTCACTTGTCAGGTTCATGGCCGTGTGGCCCTGAACCTGCAACCTTCAAACCCTGTACCCAGTGGCATTGAGACACACCCTAAGGGTGCAAGATCAGGTCTCGCTGATGGCACCACGCATTACAACCGAGTCTACTACGCGTTTACTTCTGAGTAATGTGATCATCCTTGATGCAGGGCCCAGAGACTAGACGTAATTGAGTCAGATCAACAACGCAAACGAAGGGGAACGTATCCTTCATAGATTGTACCTGAGGCTACAATCTAACACCAGCATCTGCTTCATTGGAACATTTTCTGCGTTGCTTGACCTTGCTTTGATAGTAATGTTTCCTCGCTAGTAAGGGGCGGTCCATAAATGACGTCACGCACCGAGGGGGGGGAGGGGTGTCAGATATTTGTGACGATGTGTGACGAAGGGGGGAGGAGGGGCGTTTGAGAAATGTGACGTCACATCAAAATGCGCAACTTTAAATAAATATTAATTAAATAGAATTGTTATAGCAACACTAATTTTGATTAATTTTCAATATTAACTATTTGATTATTAAAATTTACTCAGGTCACCTTTTATTTATTCCATGAAGGGCGCATTTTGCTTTTCCATGGGAGAATGGAGAAGCACAGATTTTATAAATGTTTTGAATGATTGTTATTAAAAATTTAGATTATAAGGATTCTACCAGGGCTTTTCATTGTGGAATGAATATATGATTGTTATAATTGTACTCTCCAATATGATTCGTTCTACTACAAAGTTTGAAGTATCTTTCATAGTTATAATTACTTTTAATATTTAATAATTATAAGAAAATTTCAATATAATATTCTGAACATCTGCAGTTTTAGTTAGACGTTGAATATTTTCAAGTGAATGTTATGCTAAATTTCAGCTTTCCAACGCCTCCTTTTTAATACATGTTTTCTCCTACAACATCAGAGTGCAGCGCCACATTAAATACGCACTACAACGACAATAGTTTAAAGTGATTTGAAGCATGTTTTATTTTTAAAATGGAAATATGGTTTTGGGGGCGGGGCAGAGCTTTGTGACGTCATATTTGAGGGGGGTCTGACTTTTTGTGACGCCGTGTGACGAGGGGGGGAGGTCAAAAATCGGCCAAAATCGCGTGACGTCATTTATGGACGGCCCCTAATGCGTTTTTATGAACCTTGGGCAGTACATGGTTAAATTAGCTCCAGTCACACCTATTTAACCCCAGTCTCTGGAGAGCCATCAATGTTAATTTTAGAAAGTTGTAAACAATGATTTCTTCGAATAAATATAACCCAAACTAATATTATCCCCAATACAGCGTTTCAGTTGAAAACAATGTTGTGGGCGAATGTGTTAAATTGTTCTTGTTATTAGATAATCTTGTGAGAAATTGCTTCATATACGATTATATAAAGTAAAGAATAGCATAAAGCATGTAACATCCAAGGGTATGCAGAGGTTGTGGGAGAATGTTGTCAAAACTGAACTCATCAGCAAAGAGTCAACTTACATAAAAGACGTAAGTTTGAGTACATCTCCTAATCTCTGACATGCGTATGTATGAACTTATTTCGCACCGTACGTGGAAAACATTGGCGTTGTAATTGGTCCTGAAGATTAATTATCTTCTTAAATAGCTACATTCTGCAGGACCTCATATCTCCATCAGCTCAATAATCTCCTACGTCCACAATTTCCTCACCCCAGCTGCAGCTGAGACCCTCAACCGTGACCTCATCCCGACTCAACTACTGTATTGTAGCTCTCTTCCTCTACAGCCTCTTCCAATCGGTCACCCTGAAACTCAAGGTAATCCAAATGTTGCTGCCAAACTCCTCACCCCGCACCCATGGAGAAGACAACATCACCCGGTAATGATGAATGCTCCTCAAGCTCCCCAAAATACCAGTTGAATTTAAGAGTCCACTCGCCGTCCTCAAAATCCTCAAATGAGTCAACCCCTTAATACCTATCTCATCTCGTCTGACACTACTACCCCTCCGCTGAAGCTCCCCGCTCCAAGACAACGGTTCTGTTCACTCCCTTCCAAAGTTCATTTCCAGGTTCAAAACTCAACCTTAATTCCTCAGCCTCTATACAAAATAAATTCACCCATTGTTTCCGCACATCATCTCGAGATGCGGTTCCATTTTGACACTGCCATACATGAAAATTGTATTTAAATTGTGAATTGTAATGGATTTTCATTTACCCTCATAACAAAGTTCCGCTTGAAGGAGTAAATTTATCACATTTTATCTCGGTGGACAGATAATAATAATAAAAAAAGATTATTGATTATTACAGGATTATTGGCATAACGATTAATACTGAACCGGTGTTAGTGGTGGAGCAGGGACAGAGTAATTAGGTCACCTGAGTTCAATTCCACCCCATGGCTAACATCAGTGTTGAGTGGCATCTGCAATTATACCATACGCGGGTCCCCTTCACCATCCCGCACTGAGCAGCATGGTGAAGTATGGTCAAACAAACCCCGATGACGGATGTGGCGAGGTGGGTGGCCGTCATTAACTGAACAAGTTAAGAAAAACAACGGTTTACCATTGCCTCGTTGCCAGGTCATTACATTAATGGATGGCTCTTGGTGTAATAACTTCTGAGAAAACGTTTTTGGTTTGCGCAAAAGTTGCTCATGCAACTTTACTGCATTGGGATACGAATAGTTAATTCACACAAATACCGTAGTATCACCATTACCCGTTGTAAAACGGACACTGCTCTTTTAACGACATGCGATCATTTCCACTTCAAGCAACGATGCCCAGTCTCAGTAAATGGAGGCAGGAAATGTCAAACCGAACGGTAAATGCTGTTTCACCACGCCGCATGAGTTACCTTACAAACTCACTCAAGCGATCAAACATGTCATCATGCACCAACCAAGAAACCATGGCGAGAGCTCACTGATTCCAGAGACGATTCTCTTTGAGGGCAATGACCACCCGATTTGCTTCCTCAAGATAATTCAAGTGTAGTTTTCAAATGTGTCAGGTTAGAGTCCTGACTCGTTCACCTATTTACTAGCTTCTGTAACATGTATTGATTGCTATTACTCGCATTAATATTAAATGTTGCCCAATGCCCATGGGTCTCTCCCAACTCGGTTGAATCTCACACGTAACTAACCACTGTCCATCGCTACACTTCGCCTCATTACCAAAGCACAGATTTACTCAGGCCATGGCAGTGTTCATTTTCAGTAAGCAGTTATAACATCTGAATGACAAACCACTGACACGACAATAATGGAACCAACGGGAATACGAAGTTAAGAACCACTCAACCACGGAACCCAGGAAGGGAATGGAACCACAAGGAGAATGAATAATGGCCCTCGTGGGGAAGATACGAGATGATGCCCCAGCAGCCCCGCGGTGTTCCCTCCTGCCCGGTAGGCACACTTGATGGCATTGATGGTCATGCTGATTGACAGAGCAGTGCAGCAGCAGCAGCAGTCGATGATGATGATGCTGATGATGATGGACCCACCGTGAATGTAGCAGCCTCACGGGCAGGATACTCCGGACTCAGTTCCACATGGAGGGTGCTGGGCTCCTCTCTCTGCTGCTGCTGCTGCTCTAAGCCGAGGATGGCAGAGTGAACAAAAGCTGGCCCGCACTCCGCCGTCACCCCCACCACCACCCCCCACCACCACCCCCCACGTCCCGTGGGGGGTGGTGGTGGGGGGGAGCGTGGATGGTGGGGTACGGGGCGGGGCTACCGGGGGGGGGACCTGGCTGGATGGGGTTGGGGCTCTGGAGGCGGGGGGTGAAATTGAGGATGAAGCGAAGGTGGGGCGTGGGCAACGTGATGAGGGGCGGGGCTAGTGACTGAGGGGGCGGGGGCTATATGATAAGGGAAGCGGGACGACTGTGCTAGTGGGCGGGGCTAAACACGGCGAGGGGCGTGGTAATGTAAGAAACATAACTTAGCGGACTTTAAGATGAAACGAATAATTGAGTGACATTGCGTTGGCAGTGGCGCTCAAACATGAATTGCAACAACAAAAAAACCTCAAACACATTTGTCAAACAACACCGCTTTAAAAGATGATAAAAAACAGGCGACGTTTCGGCCAATGCCCCTTTTTAATATATTGAGCTGTGGAAGAGGCATGGGGAAGGATTCGGGGCGATCAGCCCCGTGACTGTAGCCTACACACATATACAAGGGGGCTCACGATCTCTCGTAGAAGTACACAATAAAGGAATCGTTAGCGCCGCTGTAGAGCATCATACTATTTACCTTGGTTGCTGTTATAATCCATTACGTGAGTATGTTAAAGTCATTTCGCACCACCGTACTTAGCCAACCTTGATAATCGGAGATGAGAGTTGGGGAAACCCTCTCTAGTGTTGAGGAGGGATCCGATGCAGACATTCTACATGAACTGTTGTGTTTTGTGTGCTTATCTAACGAACAGTGGATTGTTGTGTGCACTGTGTGCAAATGCCCTCCAGGTCCAGGGTTCACAATGCAACCTCGTCACTGATAACAAAACCCCATGCGTTTTTTAAAACCCAAACGTTTTTATGGCTTGGTTAAAATGAGCCATTTCAATGTTTGCAGGAGTTAGTCATGTGTGTTGGTTGTAGTGACCAACATATAGAACTACCCATATACGAAATCAGGATATTGACATCTCCATATGGCAATATTGTATTGCATTTGGCCAGAGCCGGATTAAGCTAGTGCGGGGCCTGTAGCATATGTTATAAAGGGGCCATAAATGAAAAAGACGTAAATATTAAAATACAAATGTTTTACTTGCATTGTAAAATAATCGTATTTTTTTTAAAAAAAAATTATATACAGCAAGATAATATGACAAATCGCTAACCTTAGACACCCAGTCGTTCATAAAAGTTTAAGGCAGTATAGTACTATAGTACTAGAACAAGTGCAGAATCGCTGAACCGGAATTGATAGCTTGAAAGCATTTAGCGTGGGGCCCTTGAAAGTGCGGGGCCTGTAGCATATGTAGCTACTTTTGCTACTAGGATAATCCGGCACTGTATTTGGCGACTTAACAACTATTGGTCAATTACAACGATATTATAATATAGTATGCTCTGAACAAAGTTTCCCAATGGGCCGTCATACTATGAACAATTCTCAACTGTCAGTCCATCATAATCATCATCCTCAAACTACAGAAGGGCATTGGAATTATTTAGATGCGATGTAATGTGAGGCTCGTTGAGTTGATGAAATATCTTAAGGGCTCTGTAAATGCAATTCCTCATCCTTATCAAAGTAAAACTAAACCATTTTATTTAACCAGGTAAGGCCCATTGAGCTAATACAGCGGGTTTTTTTTTTTCCCACAAATGGCCACAAATTATAGCTCAACTAAATGGCATATCTCGTGGAAATTAATAGCAGCCAAATACTCTAAACGCATGTTGCTAAATGCGTAGGGGAAAACCAGAGAACCCGGAGAAATATCCACACGACCATGGGGGAGAACATCCAAACTCCAAATATACATGTGTCACGGTCGAGATCGAACCCATGACCCCCTGTATACCAGGCGAAGTAGTTAACGTCTCACCACCGTGGCGCCAGCGTGATCATTCCACTTTGGGGATAAAAGCCTCAAGTCCCAAATCAGTAGAGGAAGTTTCCATTTCTATGGTGAGGACAAGTTTGTTTTCAACATTAACAACGGAAGTTGTCACACCTTGTACCAAGTGGTGCAACCACAACTCAGCAGGTGGTGCTCATTGCCCCTATGGGAGATGATGGGCTGAGCTGAATGGAATTTGAACCCATGACCTGTTTGCTCGTGAGCAAATTCCACTGCTCTGCTGATTGGAAATGAAACGTTGCTTTTATCGTTGAGGAAGACGCACCCCCTACCCCAAATAACCCAATTAGATGCCAATGTAAAAAATATATATATTTGGATCCACGGCAACGCGACAGTTCGAATTTGCTTCTGTAAAAATGAATAATTAATTCCTATCTCAATTCGTATTTCCTGGCGACAGGACATAGTGCCACCGTTGCATCTTTAAAAAAAAATCTCCACTCTTCATAGGATAATATGGAGCGGCGCTCAGCATGCGGGACGCGTTGCAACAGCCACAAATTTGGCCCTACGCGAGTCTCGTGGCCACCACCTCGTTGAGAGACGTCAGGCGACTCCAGTGTGGATCTCATCAGGCCAAGTTTGATCATTTAACGAGGTGAGAACTCAATAGACCAGGAGAGTGACCTGGATCACCCAAATGACAAAAGCCAAACAGAAAATTAATTACAGCAATTAATTGAATATGAATCAGTCCAAAAAACAACTGCGTAACATGGGAAATCACAAAAAAATTGCTGAAATAACGTTTCACAAACGTCTGCTATCATGAGAGGGCGCTATAGCAATTCAAATTTAACAATGCGGCTTTGATGTTAAATAATAGCACCGCAGTGTTATTGTTTTGGATTTGTCATCGCTGTAAACTTGTCTACAGCCCACGATACGCAGCCTGAGTACAACACAGCGAATCTAAAACAGATATAGTATTGGCTGTGTGTCTCGTATCTTCCTTTAACAGAATTAACAACTTGACATAAGGGGTCCATTTGCGGTATTACTCAAATGCTGTATATGCCTTTCCTTTGATATCAGTCCTCCGGGTACGTTCACATAGAACATATTATGTTATTAATTACCAAATATGAGGGAATCTATAACTATAATGCGCAAATGCAAAAGTATTATTGCAATATTTTACGATCAAATCGTGTTTCTATTAATAGTCAATGTTATGTCACTGAACATGAACGCTTTTAATGGCATTTGTTATATTTGGAGAGCTTCAAAAAAATTGCTAAAAATGTCCATCCGCGTTAAAGGACGCCCCCTAGTGTTTGGCTCTAAGGGTTACTGCAATTAATCTTAGAAACCCACCGATTTCCTTACATGCAGAGCTCGGGCGATTCGTTGTTTAACGTCGATTAAACGGCTAAACATGTGTAATTTACTGTTTTATGGCCAATTACTCTGGCCCATTTTTAAATGGTAACCATCCCCACATCGTGCCTCCCGAGAGCTGGAAACCCCTACAAGCCACTCCCCAGTGTCACGTGGTGGATGCCGATATCAGCAAGCCTCGCCCATCGCCTCCCATCCTTGCCACACGTGTGGTAACGGAGGTGACTTATTTTTCCCAACTATTTTCCTGTCATTAGATTAGTAGAGTCATCGATGACAGTACTTACCTAATGGAACAGGCTAACTAATTTTCTTTGAGTGGCTGATTTAAACAAAATCCTTCAAGTTATATTGTTGGCAACATTTGTACTGAAAACGAATCAGGGATAATTTCCATCTTTAAAGACATGGGGGGGGGGGGGGAGGCGTTTGTCACGGTCTAAAATATTTTTGGATAAAAAAAAAATACTTTTGACTTGCTACAATGTCAAAAAAATGTTGTTGGGACAATTATTTCCTCAAAAAATAAATCGTGTTGAATGAGCATCTTCCCATAGCTCATCCTTCAAGGTTCCGCACAGTGCAAATAATTGTCAAGATACACCCACAATCAACGCAGGGCAGTAAAACCATTGACGCAAGACACCGTGCTTGCTTCTCCGTGTGGTACCACGATCACTCGCACACGTCGATCTGACCCCGTGTCCCTGTTTGCCCCGGGGCCGACCGCCACTTCCCATGGCATCCACTCTGAGCACGGGGCGGCCAGCAGCCGCAGCAGCACAGCAACCCCGAAGGGGGCATTCGTCTCAGCCCACAAATATATACCGTAAACTTCCATATATGCACAAATTAATAACACACATTTCCATGATTTTGGAAAGTAAAAGAATGTAAAATGTGCAGACAATGCTTAATTGTGGAAATAATTTCAAATTATAACATCAAGATTATGAACAGCATTTGCCTTTTAATATTACTATTAGGTTCTCACATAGGGGAATCTACTATTCCTAAATGGTGTCTCTGTATCCCTAACTCATCTGCAACCACAAGCCTCACCTCCATAATGTTCACGTCCAATTTTTAACCACTATATTTTAACTAGCTATCACAGCGTTAAAGATGTATTCGAATACTTACGTTTAAAAATTGTCACCAGTTAAAAGCATACGGTTCCAAGTGTTAATAAGTAACCTATACTGTATTCACACACTTCTGTAGTGTTAGTGATTCGGACACGAGGTTTGTAGAAGCACCTTCTTTATTGAACACACACGTGATCTCGCCTGCACACCCAACAGTCGCGAGCCTACACACAACACGAGCCGTCTAACACCGACGCCGCTGACCGAGACAGCTAACGGGCTATCTAGCAGCGCCATATCGGTCGAAGACGGCAGCGATGACGAGACGAGTCCAATCCCAGAACCGGCAGCCTCGAGCTCCCATTCTCGGCCCCTTTTACGCTACCAGCGTGGCCTGGCTCTGCCCTGGCCGCGCCTCCCTTCTCGAACCCACTCGCAGGTTCCAGGGGCTTCCAGATAGGGCCCTCCATGACCCTTGCCCCAGTTCCTCCGCCCTGCCGACACACACACCGTGTCTATGCTCACCGGCGTGTGCGCTGTTTGTCCACCACAGTTGCCGCTGCTGGTCACCAGCCGGCGCTATTACACTACACTTTCATTGATGATTAATAAGTAATCATA